CGAAGCGCCGCGCACACCTTCAATTTACATGCGGAACAACTTACTCCCAGCATCCGCGGGAAGCAACTTCGACCACATTTTTCCACTTTACACTTCTAAAAATTTCCTTCTCTGCCTACCCCTATTTCCACCACCCCCCAAAACTCTATAACCACCGTTTTTGCAGGACAAAATGCTGGGACTAGGGGCATATGAGTGAGCCTAGATAAGCTACTTTTGCCTAATGATAGTAATAGTAATGGTGATTATGCTGGTGTAATGATACAGTAGCTTGCCGATATTATAAGATGCTCACTGAAATTCTTACATGCGCTTCCGATTAGATAGGGTTATTTAAGCCGGGTTTTAATACTAATTATTATGCTGCATACTCCCAAAATATTCCAGTCGTGACAAAACTAGTTTTTTCTGACCTTCTAGCCATCAAAAAAACGACAATCGATAAAATAGCTACTTAAGTAGCCTGGATTTTTCACATTGAAGTTTGATGCTCTTAGAAATTCAAATAGACTACAGCAAATATAAAACAATTAGTTCCCGTACTAATTTAGTAGTAAATTAGGGACATCCAGAATCAATACGAAAATGCAAACTACTTAAGTAGTCATATTTACCGAGCGCGGCGACCGAGAAGTTTGCTTAAAAACCGGTATCCCCAACTGCCGCATGATAATCAGTATTACGACTTTTGCCTGAGTAACCCTCTGTAACTAAAAACACGTTTCATAGGTTCCATCTGATAGGCTAGCTACTGTATATGGTAAGTCGGGTTTTTTATGGTGGGTAGGATATTGTGTTTGACTGGCATAATATTATTTAGAATGTCATATCTCCATTGCAACTGTAATTTCTTCACAGGCAAAAGCACAGTTCAAGCGCCGCAGCACTGCTAACCAAGTTGAGATCCTCCTCCCCGTGCCCAGCGACGTCGATTCGCCGCGCTTTAAGACTACAGTTGGCGCCTGCAGGTATATACCGGAAGAAAACATCGTCATCTGGTCCATCAAGAACTTCCCTGGTGGCAAAGAATATATGATGCGCGCTAGCTTTGGTTTACCTTCTATTGAGGGTGATCCCAGCCTTGAAGTAAAACCACCGATCTCGGTTCGTTTTGAGATTCCCTACTTCACAGTTTCAGGCCTTCAGGTAAGCTAGTTCTTCTGGCTGAGCCTGTTTGCGTATCAATACTAAAACGTAATTTTGCACGTCATATTACTTCTTTTCTTTCGAAATATCGAGCAAATATACGATTCTGTGATATTTTCCGAAAGCTTTGCGGGCGCTTTTCAGATCTTCACAATACCTTTTCCCCCAAGCGAGTCTTGATTTTTCTCTGATAAAATAACTGCGGTTAGGAAATTGTACAGGACTCCGTGTGATTTAGGTAGATTTGAATGCATCAGATTAGGCTATGGCTTCAAATACAGGCCAGTTGTCCTGCTTTAGGCGAAATAATCTTAATATTTTCAATTTTCTCAAAACCTAATGTGCGAACTTCGTGTGCACGTATCCCAGAGGATCCAGTTATGAGCCGAACCCTTCACAGCTACGTCATACACCAGTACAAAACCATTAAAATATCTGTTTGGTTTTCTCTCTGGTACGCGTGCTGGAAGTATGATAAATCAGTGAAAATTCTAGTCGTTGTCTGAGTCACAATTGTCTAAACCGGCATGCTTTGATGTCCGTATCTTGGCCGTCTGGAGGTATGTGA